ATATTGTAGATCACGGCCGTTAGCCAATCAAAATCGAGGATCATCCGTGAAATTTTGGTGCGGCAGCTAGGTTCAATTGTGTACGTACAAGGTTGGTTGCGCAGATCTCCTGAACTACGAATCAGATTTCAAGATTAGGTGTAACATAACACGAGCGTTCGTTCTGACAAAAATTGCTCATAGCTCAAAAATCAGCATAATAAACCACCTTTTGTGCTCTAACAAAAAGTTTTCGTTGAACAATTTTACAATATAAACTATCCCTTTCTAGATCCTAACTTTGAATCTAACCTAAACTTGACGAATTTTAAGAATTTAGTCTTCGACGCCAACCTTGTACACATTTACGATATGCAACTTTAAAAAGCGATTACGTATCTGATTTTGGTGGCTATACTAGGTGCATTACTGATCTTGGTAGTTACGCTAGGTTCATGGGAAACAACCTGTCATCGAGCTTTAAATTATATTTTGTGTATCTATCGTAAGGATTTCAATTATATTTTGTAATGAGTTGTCACAAAAAATAATTTAAAGCCTGAAGAAACGTTGTATCTTAATGGTAATTTTGTCATAATAAAAATTAAAAATTCGTCAAAGCCTAAAATTGACTATACATAATAATGTCCAATTTGTTTCAATATTTCGAGGCATATGTCCAAAAAAAAAAAATTGAAACTGCCATCTCTGTCATGTCGTGATAGAAATTACCATTTACTTGCTATATCCCTGAAATTAGATCGTGCACACATCGATTAATAATATCAAGCAAGTATAATTTCAAAAAGCATCCAATGCTATTATTGAAACCGAGAATTTCAGTACCAACTATTTCCAATTATGAAAAATTAACGTAATTTTTTTCCACATAGTTTATGTTTAAAAATGAGTAAAACATGAACTCTCTATCTCTGATCAGTCGAACACAAAATCTGTTGCTTATGTTAAGTAGAGTTGTAAATATAAATAATAGACAGATTTTAATATTTCTTGGCTATTATGGTTTTTCTTCACATATAATTTTTACATTAAGATTCAGAAGATTTAAAGACAAAAGATTAAAGAAAAAATTTCTAAAAACTTTATTTAGATCCCGAGTAAACTTGTTAAAATTAATAGTTTAAATTAGTCCAAATAGCTTGTAGACAACGGAGCCGCCGGCAATTTTTTGTAACTTGATTAAACCTATCAATCACGATATATTCAATGTAATTTTCGCACAATCATATCCTTCCTATATAGTATGGTGTGATGTTATCATGTGTTGCACCAGTATGATCTTAACTCTTACTTCAATTGGATAAATGAAAACTAATACTGTACTAAAAAAGGTTTTTCAAATCAGCATCCAAAATTTGAACGGAATTACGTATTACCTACACAATTCTTCAGCGTGATCGTACTGGTATAATAATGTAGTCTTGGCAGCGACTAATTAATAACATTTGGAAATTGATTCATAATACCAATCATATAATTGTATATGATTTTGTACTCTAAAAAAAATTATTCATACATGCGGTCAACGCTAAATTGTAAACCCGGATCTAACCCTAAAATTGCCTAATTTCAATACAATTTGGGAAAAGAATAAACAAAATAAAATTTAGATCCATCAAAACCGGCTTTCGTCCATGCCATTAAAGCTGTTATTTTTGTAACTAACCATTAACATGTACATATAGTACATGGATCTTGATAGATTATGAATGTTTGCGAATGTTAAATAATAATACTTGAAAATTTGTATATTTATAAATACGTGCTAAATTTGATTTCCCTTCAAAGCTTAGATTTTTAACTTTAAGCAATAACAATAAATACTATAATTATGAAATCTATCCTTTCTTACGTTTTGGTTTTTTTCGTTATTTTTAATGTTGCAAATTCCCACTACCAATTGCAGAATCCTCCGACTAGAGGTTTCGAAGAAACTACAGAGCCAAATTCTCCATGTGGCGGGTTTAACTCGGTCAATACATCCGCAATAACTAAATTTCCTGTTTGTATGTTAAAATTATTAAAGCTCACTTGACTATTTCTCTGAATAAGCTAAATATTAACAATTTTGTATTTATTTCATATAGCACAAGGACGCGCTACATGTTTCTTCTTTGATGGTGATGGAACTCTTACTTTTAATTACGCTCCTAATTCAAATTCCACTTTTCTTCAAGTATCAGGTAAATTATTTAACATATATGTGTTATTTTATATGAGTAAATGTGTGTACTGTTTATTCAATTCATTGTTGTTTCATAATCAAGACCCTGAAACATATTCTCAGCTCACGAACGCTCAAAAGTCAGTTACTGTAAACTTGAATAGAGCTAACGCTACCGTTGGTTCTCAAGGTGTTCTTCAAGCTGTTTATAATTTATCTGATGGTACTGGTACTTGGTATCAATGTGCCGATATTCAAGTGATTAACGCTACTACAGCTAGCTCTGTTGCTATTGCAATGGTTTCACCTCATATTGGCATAATTACTATTTTTGTTGGGTTTATTTCAGTTCTTCTTATTTAATTTGAGGATTCTTAATGCTTACAAGTTCGTAAATAATTAATTACTTGCAAAATTCGTAAAATAAGCATTTATCTACTGCGGCAAGTAATGCTTTATCAATGTTCTTTCATATATCCTTATATATCCTTATAATTCAATTTATTTTTCAATATTGTTATAATTCCATCACTGACTGCCAAAATACGATTCAAACAAAGTTTTTCTACGTCCTCAGAAGGTATAGTTATTAATAACTTCTAAGTTCACCATAAAGTGCTACTACACTCTAAAATAGTAATTATAATAAAAGTTCAGTTAAATATTTGACATACCATAGCAGTCCAATTATTGCATTTTTGTTATTGTGGTTGCTAGCATATTATATTGCTAATGAGTACTTGGGCACAGTTAGGGTTGTTAATGGAGTAGCTTACTCCGGAGCACTCCGGAGTAGAATCCAATCCATGATGGGATTGGTTTAAATTATGTCTTTAAATTTGAAACAACATGGAAAAACCCGGAGAAATGCTAAAGTCTAATTTAATGGAGTGGGTTGAGGATTGGGTCAACCAAATTAAACCCATTAACAACTTTAATAATGCATGCACATATACGCGCCTTTGTTAATAATTGTCGCGGCTGATGCTGGAAACGGCTGAAGCTGGAAATCAGGGACCCTGATTTAAAAATATAAACCCT